GCGTCCGCACGGAATCTCGGCGCACGACGATTCTCTTCCGCCGATCCTTCCGTGCTGCGTCCCCTCCGCGCCGCCCCCAGTCCGTTTAGCCCGGCGGAGTCTCCGTCTCTGTGTGCGCGTTTTCGTGCGATACGCTGTGTTATCGTTTGCATTGCAAATGGCAACCCACCCCGCCCACATTCAAACACACCGAGGAGAGGCCACGAGGAGCGTGCACGTTTTATGGTGGAATCGGCCGCGTGTGCGAGAGAGGCCACGCCGATATATCGGGGCCTACGCGGATGAGTCACGGGAATCGGAACAACCCTAACGATGCCCTCTTAAGGGGACGGACCTGTCGAATTTCCGACGCGTCTCGCCGCGTACTCGAATCATTTTCGTCACGGCGGAACGTGGACCGAGGGCGACGGGAAATTATCGAGGCGAACATCGGACGAAGTGTCCCTTGTTTTCGTTGACTTTCACCCTGTGGTGTTTTCTGCAACTACACTTGATAGAACTACTTCAGTTTATCATTGTCTAATTTTCTAATTAGTACAGGGTAGAGTATATCGGTTGATAAGGAGAGACATTGAATTTCTCCTCGAGAGAGCATTCGTGAAATTCTATTCGAAACCTTTGCCACAATATTATTCTCAACGGGTTAAAAAATCAGAGAAAGAAGAGATTCCTCGGGATCCCCGGGAATCTCAGCGACGTTTCCCTCTTCCTCCGGATTCGTATTTTAATTCGGCGCGCATGTTTTTCGCGTGGCACCCCCTAAGTCTCCTCTGCCCGTCCGCGGAAGACTTATTTTTTTCCCTCTTCCTTATCCCGAGCCAGGTTTACTTAAGATATTAAAGTACTCACCCTCCTCCTCCGGCGTTCTTTCCCGTTCGCCGTCCTCCTCCGCCTCCTCCTCCTCCCTGTTCGCCGTTGCCGTCTCGAGGGAGGTTCCTCCGGCTTCCGCCCTGGCGTTCCCGGGGGAGCGCGTCGCCACTCCGCGTCGGCTTCGCTTAATTTGTAAGCGGATTTTTGCACTAATCAACGGATTTAAGAAGGACAAGAGAGGCGGAGGGGGCGGGGGGCGGCGGGAAGAACGAGGAGCCCGAAGGCGAGAGACCAAAGACGGGGGACAAGAAAGTCATTTGAATTTATTTTAATTATACTAACGAACAAGCCGCGGAACGAGGGCCTAACGAATTATTTGCTCGAATATGATTGCGCGGAATTTCTAACGAGGGATCGACCGATCTACGGTGTCTTCGGGGATCGCTTCCGCTTGTTGACGGGTAGACGGGAAAATCTTTCGTCTTCCGATCGAGGGAAAAACAGCGGTAAGCGCCGTCGGAAATCGTCGTGTGTGCTTTTCAAGGGGGCGAGCGGGGAACGGCGGAAAAACGCGCGAGAATAAATTCAGAGCGCGTTAATAAATCATTTCGTTAGCGACGGAGACGTTAAAGAACCGGACGGGCGATAATGGATCGCGCGATTATTCACGGATCTCGTATCGATCGCCGGCGATATTGCAAGTGACTAGCGTGACCGTAGCGCGAGACAAATGCCCGCCTCTTTTGCATCGCGCGGCGAACAGCGGGAGGAACGGGAGAGAGCTCGTTTATGGATGCGGCTTCGAGGATCACCAAGGCCCATCGACAGCCAAGGTCTTCTTCGTCGGCTCCGGCAACGCTGCGACGAATTAACCAACGATTGCCAAGGTTCCTCGTTGCCATCGATCAACGTTTCACACGTTTCAACCGTATAATACAACAGACTCGCGACATTCTAATAGCACGATTCACGCAGAATGGACACTTCCATTTCATCGAGATTCTTCTAATTCTCTAAACTTGATAAGCTTCCGGTCCCTTAAGGGATAAATTACGTTAGAAGAATCTGGAATGAGATCTTACCAAAACATACCGTAACATAGATAAAGGAAGAAATACATAGAAGTGACCTAGTATAATATTTAACGTGTTAATTGTTACTACAACCACAAGGTGATAGAAACAATAAAATGTTTCGTCATATACAAGACAGACGCAATAAGCAAAACTGCCATGCCGCTTCTATGGCGGCATCGCTCCGTCAAGGGTTAATTTTTCAGATATCAGGCAATTCGACTGTTCCGCAAGCTCAACGGTAGAACGAGTACGATTCCCGATCGCGATTCCACGGAGCGTCTCGTTAAGGATCGAACAGGAATAAAATAAAATGCCGGTGCACGGGCCGCGAGGGGGAGGATAGACGCCCTTCGAGGACGGAAAGTTGTCGAAGAAGGGCCGGGAGGGGGTGGGTGGAAAGAAAGCGCGTGGTTTCCTTAATGAGAAGTACAGAGTAAAGCTTTCTTTGCGCGTCCTTTTGCCTGGAAGAGCGGTCCCCTTGGGGCGAGCTTCCGTCCGCGTCGCGGCGCGCGGAGCTGAGCGGAGCGGCGTGTACGGGCCGGAATCGAATCGGATTCGCGGCTCCGTGTAGACTTTTTTTCCGGCCGAGCGGCCGCGCCGCTGAAATGCTTCTTGTGTAAGTAAAAATCTAAAGTGACTACCGAGATCTAAGTTTTAATTAGTTTATCTTGGCCGCGTGGCCATTGAATATTTATGAGCTATCGCGGCCGCCGGTGCCGGCACCGCGGCCCGAACCTCGAGCCGCGCACGAGAGAGCAATCAACAGAGGAAACGGGGAAAGAGAGCCGGCCAGAGAGAAAGGGGGCAGATGGGAGAAGGGAGAAAGAGAGTAGAGAAGAAGGTCGAGGAGGCGCCGCGGACCCTTAGAGAAGGGGATGTTGCCGGCGAAAGGGGACGAAGAATGAGATTCCGCCGGCCACGGAAAGGAACCGCCTGTGGTTACTGTCATCCCGTGGGATTTCGCTTTCGATGCTTCCGAGACGCTATCCTGCAGGATATAATTGCATGGCCCGGCTGCGCGACAAGCGCCGCAAAGGAAAACGGTTCTCATTCCGCTGCGCTCTGATCTTCGATTGCTCCTCTAGGGGTGAGATCGTAGTTGACCTCTGGACTCGGTGGAAGTAGGTAATTTGTTAGATGTTATTTTCTACGTTAACACTGGAACTTCTTGTCAAATTTCTTTATAGGAACTATGATCGTTGGAGTTCCATTGACGTTCAGTTTGCTATGTTAACCAGTTAACTGTGTTTGACGAGTATACATCTTAAAGCTCTTAATGGCGCTAACTTTTTCAACGTGGATTCTTTATTTTTTGAGACAGACATGTAATTCTTCGTTTCGCTTTAGTTTCTCGTTAGGATATATTTTAAGTTCCACACTTAACTGGTTAACATTGTCAAACTTCTCTATAGAAACTATGAGCATTTGGATTTACATTGAGTTATGTAGTAGATTAGGTATTATTGAAGATTACTTGATCATTTCTAGAAGCATTTGGATCTTCTCGGTGTTCCGCCATCTGGCAGTTCCAGTGTCAATAATTCAGTAGACAAAGAGGATGTTTGCTTCGGATATTAGCATTACTTATACGGATCGTTGCGATATTCCGAGGGGGTTAATAGAAGCAATTGTTATCTCTTAAGAAACGCGGTCTTAGCGGATTACAAATTCCAGAGGAGAATTTCGGAAAACCGGGGGATTAACGTTTTCCGATACTTCACCCCTGGCTGCAGCGGGATGAGGGACGAGAAGCAACGATCGGTACAGACGCGGAGGCGTGGTCTAGCCGGTACTAAGGAGCACGAAGAAACACTCGAGAGACAAACGTATCTGGGCCAAGCGGAAGCCAGTCTTTTTCTTATCCACCGTATAATTCGCGGGTTGCGCGAGACCGGGGAAGAAGGGATGGCGGCGAGGGAACCGTGGAAAACAGGAGGGATCCCGGGATCCGTGGAGGCTGGCTGGCTTCGGGTCCACCTCCGCGAAAATCCCAGGGATAGAAAGAAAGGAGGAGGAAGAATCTATAAGTACATAAATCTGCGAAAGTCAGTCGACGGAGAGGAAAAAGGAGAGGGAGAGAGAGAAACGGGAAGACAGATCGGGAGAAAGCGGCAGGGAACACGGGGACTGAAATTTACGAGCGGCACCGTAAAAAACAGAAGCAGAACACGCGGAAGAATTTTTATTTCCAGCAGATTCGAGGAATATTCCGTCGCATTTCGCGGCGATCGTCGAATACGCTGATCCTGTCGGGTTCCTGGTTCGTATTAACGCTAAAATCACCGGTTTTGATTTTCTTGCTTTGTAATTGTTAACCCTTAGCGCTCCGGGTTGTTTTGTAGTCTATCAGCAACTAATTTTTATAGTACTAGCGAAAATGAGAATGCTATAACATTTCTTCGAACTATTTTCCTTCTTCGTAGAAAATTTGGATGTGTGGAAAGTCGAATAATTTTAGAGTGGTTTCTTTAAGATTCATTGAAATATTATAACTAGTAATATTACTACTAATATTATAAATATTATGACTGGTGCAATATTGGAGCCTACAGAGTTCAAAGGGTTAATAATGATCTTGAGAATAGTTTCACTTGAAAACTACAATGACTGAAGAAACCGAAGATAATCTATTGTTATAATCTTGATAGGGATTACATACGACTGTTAAATGCTCGGTAGTTTTAGCGTTAAACATCGAAATTCGCTGGCTCCTCGTATAATCAATTATAAATCTATTTCCAAGGTTCTCCCTGCCTCCGGGAATTTTGATTCGAAGAGGTAAATTAAAGTGATCATAGATAACGAGTATTTGAAAAATCGGAAGATGCATGGTGCCGCTTGTAAATAGATGATAAATTTGTTTACAGATCGCACAGAATCAGTTTCTCCGCTGGATAATTTGCATTCAAGAAGATTAATGGATCGCCGAACGAGATAAGTCGCCAGTTTTTCGCTGGGAAACCGGTCGGCGGAGAAACAAAAGCGGAAAAAAGGTG